GGCGCTGGACACACACAGAGAAACAGAGACAGACAGAGACACATACACACACAGACACAGACACAGACAGAGACACAGACAGAGACACACACACACACACACACACACACACAGACAGACAGAGACACAGACACACACACAGAGACACACACACACACAGACACACACGTCCCATCTCTGCTCCTGTATGAACGATCCTCATCATTATAATGCTGTGGGTGTGTGACTGACCCCCGTATGTCTCTGATGTCCTCGTGGCTGGCGGTGTGCAGCGCTCCTTTATGGAGTCTCACGGAGGACGGTGTGGACGGCGGAGACGTCTCGCATCTGATAGTGGCTTTATCGTCTTGTGCGCACTAAACACACACACAAGCACTTTAAACAGCAGCATTAAACACACAAAGCTAAAACATGGCTGATCTAGGACTGACAGAACATGATCGTTTTGATGAAATTCACCTTTAAAAAGGTTTCTTTCTTTCTAAAATGTAAGGTATAAAATAATAGGTAAAGACATACTGATATATTTATGAATTAGACATCAGTTTCACATCGTTTCAAACCGGTATGACGGACTTTCTTCTGTGGGAGGCAAAAGAAGTGTTGGTTTTCTGGACCCTAACTGAGTTTTAAAACATCTTTTGTGCTCCACAGAAGAAAGTCAGTCCATTCAGAACGGTCTGTGAATCGAACATGACACAGCTGTCAGATAAACTAAACTAAAACTCTGTCTGATGGTGTGATTGTCAGTCTAGTACACAAAATATAATGGAGTCCCCTGTGTTTTTATAGAGTTTTGCATAATAACAAATAAATCATTGATAAGCAGGACTGGGTGGTATGATGGATGTGATATCGGATTTATAACAACACGTTATACGACTCAGATGAAAACATCAAATGCCATGAAGTGCATTTCATTCATTAGATTTGATAAAAACAGACAGGTTGTTTACAGCCATGATGTAACGCAAGTAGCGACAGATCTTTTCTTTTGCATTGTGGCGTATATCCAATGAAACAGATTATCGAAAAGGAAAAAAATGTAGGGCGGGGCTTGGTTCTGTTCCCCTCATTGATTGGCCGGAGGCAGATCTGAACGTGACTGAGCAGTCGACTGTAAGAAACAGGTGGAGTTTAAGCAGATTCACTGGAAGATCCAGTTATGACATTTTAATTAAACATTATAAAGTCAAAATAAATAAAATGATGATACGTTCACAATAAGATCGATATCATGCATTTAAAAAGTAGAGGGGATTTTTCGTGAGGGTTTTGGTCATAACGCCCAGCCCTACTCATCCTCTGTGTCACGCTCATGATGTCAATATTTGTCTGGTATTTCTGCTGAATCAAGTGCTGTGATGCGTGTAGCTCTGTGTGACACATGCGTGTGCTGTAACACATGTTCTTAAGATTCAGATGTTACAGCAGGGTTACACATGCGGCTGCGCAGTTTCTCTAGATTACCTTCCTACGATGCTTCCGCAAATCGCTAGGCTGTTGGAAGCGCAAGCAAATGGAGAAAGAGAAGAAACAGGAAGTTAGCAGCATTTCAAATAAAAGCACAGAAGCAGGCGAACAGCAGCCTAGCAGGAGAAAGATTTAGAGACACACAAACACACACTGAGAAAAGCATGAGAGCATCAACGCTGGTGTCATGATGGGCAGAGGGTCACACGTCACACACACGGCACTGCTGAGAGACACACACGTGAACACACACACACACACACACAGACACAGAGAGAGAGAGACAGGAGCAACAGACTGTTCACTCTGGACGTCAGTGATTCAGCAGCAGACAGTGATGCTGAAGGGTTAAAGTGATGCAGGAACGTCACACCTGTGAACCAAACTGAATATTTACTGCATATCTGTGGCCATATGTCAGAGACGAGTCGCTCAACCAGCGTCCAGCACAGAATTTATTCATGGAAAGTCTGGTTTTTAGGGCTGTCAGATGATTAAAACAATAAATAATGTTGGGTAACTGATCTGGAATTTGCCTCTAAATATATTGTTCCTAATTAGCTCTTTTGAATAATAAATCAAATATATTTAACCTGCATCTCTCCACCACTAACGGTTTCATCTCCCTGATGACATTTTTGAACTTCAATGAAACTAAATATTAATTAATAAATGAAAACCAAGCCGAGCGTTCATCTGCTACTGAATCACAGCTAGAGTCTGGATAAAGCTCGAGTCCAGAGTAAACAGGCGTTTGGTTGGATCTTCTCAAGGTCTAACTGCTCATTTCCTCGTTGGCCCGTCGAGGGAATGGAGCAGGAAGTCCTTCAGTAAACTTCCTGAAAGTCAAAGGGTTTTATTTTTGGAAGGCACACGATCATTCATCCAGCTCTCGGCTGGGGCTGTGTGAGGGCCGGCGGGGCGTGGAGTGACCGGATCCGGGCGGAGAGGAGCTGTGGAAGGAGGGCTGGAGGGACGTCATGGAGCGGAAGCGGCTGCCCAGATCATCTCCGCTGCCCACGTGGCTCTCGATCTCCTCGGCTCTCAGTGCGGTGCACTCCTTCTCCTCCTGGATCATCCTGCAGCCACACAAACACACTCACCTCAACAACAACACCCGATCCAAGAACCACCACATCAGCGCACAGCATCTGGACATCTCAGCGTTTCATGACTCTGACATCTCAATAATTAGGAAGAATCGTTTCAAGCAGCCAATCACATGCACTAATTTTCAACACTGCAAACTGATTCTCATATTCAATCACATGTGCATTAATGTACTGCGAACAAAACGCTCATAATGATGTCATCAGTGGAGCTACTGCGGTATAACTGCTGTTTTTGCCTTGATGACATCTAATGAAAAAGATGACATGTCAGAAAAGCTGTTTTTTTTTTTTTTAGAACATTTAGTAAATATTCGGTTCATCCACAGACCAGTTAGTGAGACATAAATAAACATGCACACATTCCAAAGACATAAATCTATGCGTAAACTGTAGGCAAACAGGCACACGCCACAGGGTAATTTGAATCAGATATTCAAATGTTAACATGCTTAATTTTTTCCTGTTGTTCAGATTATTTCAGGTCTACATCAGCTGTTTCAATCGGACTTCATTTGACTTCAATGGATGTTTATATAAGGGCTTTTCAATCTGACTGAGCCATCAATGCGATTATAAAGAGATTATTTGGTTGCAAGTCAGTGTCACTACAGAGTACGTCCACATGGAGAATGTTCACACAAAAACCCTGTAATAAGCCGATACATGCATGTAAACGATCACTGTAGTCTTTATTCTGAATACATGTAAGTGTCAGTGTTGGAAATGCCTTTCGCTCAGCCCATGATGCATTTGTGCACAGGAAAACTAATCAAACTTACCAAGACTAAAGCCATCTTTGCTAACAAACTTTAAATCAGAGATGCTATTTTCACAAAATGCTATCTGTTATATTGACTTCAAAACATTAAACAAACAAAAAATGTTTAAACCTAGCATGCCAAATTTCACTTTAACATAATTCCTGTGGCATGCATCCGTCTCTCTCTGCGTGTCTGTGTGTGTGTGTGTGTCCCCGTAAAACAAAAGGCTTAAAAAAACATACAAAACGGTGTTTTATGAAATTCAAAAATTGCCAGCAGTTTCCTGTGAGGGGTAGGTTTAGGGGTAGGGTTGGTGTAGGGCAATAGAAAATACGGTCTGTACAGTAGAAAAACCATTACGCCTATGGAGAGTCCCCGTAAACCACAAATAAAAGTGTGTGTGTGTGTGTGTGTGTCTGTGAGAGAGACAGTTATATCCTGTATAGTGTCGAATGACGATACTACACCAGTATCGTGAAAAGCTCATACTGTGGCAGCCCTAGTTAGTACGATTCCAAACACAGGCCGTCAGCTAGAGGAGTGAGGGATTGTGGGAAGTGTGTTACCGTATCTCGTTGTTGATGGCATCCAGCTGCTCCTGCAGCATCAGGGCGAGCGTCTGAGCGTCTGCCTGTCCAGCAGGAGACAGGAGGTCCATGGAGCTGAAGACCGTCTCTCTGTCGTCCTCCACGTCTGACACGTCCATGTCGCTCTCAAACGCGTGAGCCACGCTAGCCAGAACATTAGCCTGCTGCAGCCGGTCCCACTCCTGCTCGTCCAGCGTCTGCACCTGACGGTACGACACACAGCACACGCTTACAACACGAAACACTAGCAGTCGACCAAATAACTTATTTCTGCTGATTTCCACATTTTTAAAATGACATACATTATTTTGACAAGACATAGCCCATCAATTTTCCTGTTATCAAACAGGATATAAATAAGTAGGCTATTATTATTATTTTATTAAATAAAATATGAATCACGGTTATTGTAGTCAACTAAAACTGAAACTAAAACCATAAAAAGTATTACATGAATAAAATAAACCAATTAAAATTAAATTTAAAAAAAATCAGCAAGGCAACATTTCTCATTTTAATTTAGTTTCATTTGATGTACTAATAACTATACAAACTCATACAAAAAATGACAAAAAAACCCATTTAAATGAAAGTGGAAAGTATAAAAATAAAGAATTGATTCAACATATTAATATTATCTCAGAGACACTAAAATATCACTGCTATGAATGTATTAGTATTCCAAGTCCATTATGTTTATATGTGACTGAACTCATGAGAATCACAGAACGCACCGCTCCACAGAGAATAAATCTGAACGGGTTTCATCACTGCAGATGTATTTGTCTCGTTGGGGCTAATATTTTAGATGCTCAAGGTACAGAAGCGTGTGTTTTGTGGGTGATGTTCACCTTTAAGGGCTCGTCTCGCAGCGCAGACACGCGGCCCTTCTGCGGTCGTCTGAGCACCAGCGCGCCGCTGTAGTGACTGTCCATCGCTGACGACACCGACACCGGGTACCTGAAGTCCGGCGTGCCGCTCGCGTGAGAGCGCCTGCGGGAAATAAAGCCAACATCAGTGCACCGCACAGAGCAGAACGAGCAGGCGGATTCTCATTAGAGTCCTGGAGTTACCCATGATGCAGCAGAGAGTTGCTCCTGCTGCGGCCGCGCTCGTGTTCGGCCCTCATGCTCTCGATCTGGATGAGCAGCTGCTCCTGAGGTCACAGGTCAACACTCGTGAGCAAACAGAAATCACAGCGGATCACGAGCGGATGGGCGGACACACTGACCTTCTCATGATGAGCCTCTTCTATCAGCTTCTTGGTGTGCTCCAGATCCCGGATCAGAGCGTTCTGCGTCACACACACACACACACACACACACACACGAGACAAACGGAGTCAAACCGTTGCGTGTAGAGGTCGACTGATATAGAGTTAAAATATGAATAAAAAGGAAGTGATCGCTGTAACTAACAGAGCACTTATTAATGACTCTAATGAAGATCACAATGGATCACAAAACTCACGGTTCGGATCATATTACGGTTTTTGAGTCACGGATCAGCAAGAAAAAAAAATATTTTAATGTAATAAATATTTCAATGCTCTCAGATTGGTCCTGAATCGCTCTGAAGCGAAGACTCCTACATAGAAATTTTTAAGCTAAATTAGGAGCTCTCTGAGAGGATTCTTAGAATCTTTAAGAACACGGGCCCAGTTCTCTTCCACCGTGTAGAGGTCGACTGATATAGAGTTAAAATATGAATAAAAAGGAAGTGATCGCTGTAACTAACAGAGCACTTATTAATGACTCTAATGAAGATCACAACGGATCACAAAACTCACGGTTCGGATCATATTACGGTTTTTGAGTCACGGATCAGCAAGAAAAAAAAATATTTCAATGTAATAAATATTTCAATGCTCTCAGATTGGTCCTGAATCGCTCTGAAGCGAAGACTCCTACATAGAAATTTTTAAGCTAAATTAGGAGCTCTCTGAGAGGATTCTTAGAATCTTTAAGAACACGGGCCCAGTTCTCTTCCACCTCTTCTTGCGCTGGAATGGTTAAAAATCGCTTGAGTGTGTAATCACCTACAAATGATAAACTTTCACTCTATTGTGGTCACATTTTTCAATTAATCGGCAGATCACATGCGTGCCGAACCGTGGGGCGTACGGATCGTGGATCAACTCAGCGGTCAGTGTTTAGTGAGAATTTAAAAATGCCAGTTGATACATCGGCCTTGACTTTATTTGGGTTGAGCACTAGGGATGTTGAGTCGCACCTTGTCCTCCAGCGCAGACATGCGCTCCTTCAGGTGCAGCTGCAGCCTCTCGTTGGATTCAGACAGCAGTTTGTCCACCGTCTCCGACAGACGTTTGTTGTGCTCTTCGTTCATCTTCTCTCGCTGACGGGCCTTAAAACATCATATTAGAATAAAGCAGCTGTTGTGTTCGTACTACACTGCGAGTGAGTCTGATGTCTGAAGATCACTCACCCTGAGCAGCTCCTGGTTCTTCTCCTCCAGCTGAGCCTCCAGCTGTCTGAGACGCTCCTCCACGTTCCCGTGACGCTCCTCCGCCTGCGAGAGACACACGCATGAGAAACTACAGCAGAAGAGAACGAAAGAACGGTTCATCATGCTGCGACAGAAAACAAGCCCAACTTTCACGAGCGAAAGGTGCGCTGCGTCTGGAGTTAGTGAAGACAAAGCGACGTGTGAAAGATCTTAACCGGTGTTCGGTTCACACGAGTGGAATGATGGACTCCTGACAGACGCCAGCATGAACCAGATCACAATCACATGACGATCATCAGGCAGAATCAGGGATGTGCACAAGTAACCGACTAGTCGAGTACTCGCTCCACAACTAACACGACTAGTAAAAAGGGCAGATGCAGATCCGCGTTTAAGGAGGAAAGTACATTTAGCTGTTTCTGCACTGCTGTTACCAGGTTAAGATGTTGAAACAGCCTATTTTTTAAGTGTTAACCAACTAAATGTGGCATTCACATAAGTCATTTTGAACTGAATTTTTTGGCTCAAGTACTCGACTAGAAAATGACTTGAAACGTCCATCCCGAGTCAGAACGACAGCGCGAGCTGGAGTACCTTCATCTGTGAGCGACTGTCCTGAGAGACACTGCAGGCAGAGCGCTACACACACACACACACACACAGGAGAGAGAGAGAGAGACACACAGACACACAGACCTGCGGTCATATACAGAGGAAGAGAGGGAACACGAGGAAGATTTGAGCTCTATGAACAGCAGAAATGACACACAATTAAAAAGGAGAAAAGGCACCAGACGACAAGACGGTAAAAACACTGCAGTGTCTTCATTACTCTGTTAAATGCACAGATCCTCCCATCTGCACTGATGTCCCTCCTACATCCGCGTCCATCTCACACATTTCACTAAATAAACTATTTGTGTGATTTACCAACTCACTACAAGCACGCAGCTTCCCGCCAGGACCACACACACCGCCAAACATTTACACTCAGTTAGCAGACGAATGATCATTCTTCCAGCATTTCACTTCATCAATCATTACAGCTGGTGTCTCCGGCTTCATCTGTGTTTGAAACAAACCTGCATGTTGCTTGCCGAGTTTTCTTTTTCAGTAGTTTGTTGAAAAAATTAATCTGACGAAATTAGAATCATATTCTGTTGTCTAATATTGCGCGCACACAGAAGACGCTTTGAGAAGTGTTTTTCCGTACACAGATCAGGATTTAAACAAACTAAAACCACCTGGACATAACTGTGCACAGTCCATATACTCTTGTAGACGTTCACGCTGTTTTACTGCAAACTGCCGACTCCAGTGAACAAACAATAAACTGAACGCGATTCTAAACTCTGCTTTTCATTTAACGCACAACATTTGCCCCCCTCCATACCCCCCGCAATCCGCCGCATCCCAAAACCGTGTTCGGAAACAAAATGACGTGTAGAAAAATAGGAAAATGTATATTTCAATATTTTTCATTGCAGTTATATCATTGGGTAATTATACATCATATATATTTCGGGCCTCAGGGAGCCGCTATTATACCTGGCATTGAAACTAGCATCGTGCTTTTGAATGCACGATCGCTTTTTAGTTTCACTTTCACTTTCGAGATTCGCGATCGCACGTAGTCTGTTTATGGAGCAGCAGTACTTACCACACATTTTACAAGATTATATGTTTGTCAGTGGTACTGAGGATCTACAAATAATTAGACAGCATCACTGATTATAATGAGTTCTATACACTGATCTATATACTGTATAATGAATCTCTATTATAGATCAGTGGTTCTATAGTATTTTGTCGCGCCGTACCGCTCGCGTCCGGTGTAGACATGGTGTTAGGAATCGTTATTTGTTTTCCCTTTTCTCTTATAAGGATTCACGCTTCGGCCACACCCCCTAACTCCACCCCCCCGCCCCCACCGATGTCATCATCCATCACGATATTTCACTGTAGACAACGTCCGATGCCAATTTTGTAGACATTGCCCAACCCTATTCAGTATAAGTTACAAACAGGAAACTCCAAATAGATTTGTTTTGTGGAGCCACAAATAAACAGGAGCAGCCACGAGGGAATGTGCGTGTCCTATTTTACATGAAAATCAGATCAAAAACAGTTTCATGATGTGCACGCTAAACAAAAACAAGAAGACAATACTTTCACTGTAACATTTTTATCATTAATCAGTGGTCAAAAAGAAAACAAAAAGCTGCTTCTGTCCTCTGAATGGTGTGGCTGTGTGACTTTGTTCCTGGGAGGCCGACAGTGGAATCACACATCGCACACGCGAACGCACACACACCGACGCACGCACGCGCACGCACACACGCTCACACACACACACACACACACACACACACACATACAGACACACACACATACACACACAGGCCTGAATTACAGCCAGAACCCAAAACTGCGGGCCGACAGCAGCAAGTGACGACTCAAACTTCATTGCTTAGAGCAGTGGTTCTCAAACCTGTCCTGGAGTACCCCCAGCCCTGCACATTTTGTATCCCTCAGCTATCTATCACACCTGATTCAACTCTTCAGCTCATTAGTGGAGACTGCAAGACCTGAAGTGGATGTGTCAGATATGGGAGACATGTGCAGTGCTGGGGGTACTTCATGGAGCGGTTTGAAAACCACTGCCCTAATGGACTATCACACCTGATTCAACTCATCAGCTCATTAGTGGAGACTGCAAGACTTGAAGTGGGTGTGCCAGATACAGGGACACATACAAAATGTGCAGTGCTGGGGGTACTTCATGGAGAGGTTTGAGAACCCCTGGCTTAGAGTATAGAACAGATTTTTTCAAATCAACTTTTTACTTAAATTGTTGAAAATGAAATCAGTAATGATTATTTGATGACTGGTAAATGTTGTTAAATTAGGAAGACACCTCAGGCTGTGTTTGTTCTAGAGAATGAGCTGGTGCTTTTCGGCTGGTTCGCCTCCTGCAGCTCCACGTCCTTCCCACAATCCTCCTCTGCACCCATAGATACGTCTGACAAGCGCTGCTGTGAACACACACCATGCTTTACACTGGAATATGAAGACCTCATGAAACTGACAGGATGTTCAACAGAACGCGTTCGTGTGAATCATTTCATGGAAAAACCATTATGCTTCTGTTTCTCGGGTCGAAGGAAAAGAAAGAAAGCCATGCTTGAACTTCAAGAAAATTTGATATATATATATATCGGGATAAGTATGATTTTTTTTCTTTCTTTTTTGAAAGAAATTAAAACTTTTATTCAGCAAGGATGTGTTAAATTGATCAAAAGTGACAGTAAAGACTTATATGGTTAGAAAAGGTTTCTATTTTTAATAAATGCTGTTCTTCTGAACTTTTTATTCATCAAATAATCCAGAAAAAAGTATCAGATTTTCCAAAAAATACTGTTTCCAACATTGCTAATAAATCAGCATATTAGAATGATTTCTGAAGATCATGTGACACTGAAGACTGGAGTAATGATGCTGAATAATAATGATGCATTATTTTTCAGCTGTTCAGGTCGTGTTGGAAAGAGCCGGAACTTAAAGTGGCTCTATGTACGATTATGTTTATATGTGAATACAAGCCTATAAAGCAATTATGTCTGTTCAGAAGACTTCAGATTAAACTGCTCGATTCATATAAATTACTCTTATCATGTCTCTTTGCAGCATGTAAGTTTTGGTCGTGTGGTGTTTACCTTGCCATTCGTGTTTGGTGCTGCATCAGAGCTGTGATTTACTTCTGCTGCCCCATCAATCATAACCCTCTTCTGATAGCCCTGCTCCTTCAGAAACATCAGCTACAAGAAGCCAGAGACAAGCGTTAACATTACTGTAACACTGCCTGTTCTGTGAGGCTGTGATCTGTGTGGTCTCACCTCTTTATGAGCGGCTGTGAGCTGCTCCTCCAGCATGCTGCATCTCTCCAGAGCCACACGCAGACGCTCTCTCACCTGATCAGAACAAACACGCCACACGTAAAGCACACCCCAAACACGCCAGCGGCACACACGTGAGCTTCCTGATGCCAGTACCTTCTCATCCAGGGCTTTGTGGTGCTCGAAGAGAGATTTGAGCGCCTTGAGCACCTCCACCTCACTGGAGACGCCGGCGGGAGACTGAGCCTGACGCTTGACTACGGTCATTCTCAGAGAACGCTCGTGACGAGACACCAGACACTCCAGATGCTCCAGCAACAACTGAGATCAGCAGCCAACACAACACAGACACGCTCAGACTGACATCAAACCAAAGGGAGAAACACTGGGCGTCCAAACAAATCTCACTTATCATCATATCAGCCTTCGGAAGCATTGGAAATCCTCCAGAAATTCGCCAAATCCTAATTTTTATGTTTTCATATTTTTAAAAAAAACTATGTATGTACATTTATAACACTACACTTTGTATTATAATTCCTTTGCTTCAAATTACAAAGAACTACCGCTGCTGTGAGGCTGCGTCTAATACGCCGTCTATGGGATTGACCGTAAATCTTGTCATCATTCTCTTCTGACTCTCTATTTTTTCCTCTTTTTGAAAATCGTGAAAACACTATCGTGGAGTTTTGCAAACAATACATCTGTGGTAGTCTCCCATTCACTGCTATAGAAGTTTACCCAACTGTGACGACTTCCACTGTTGAGGAAGCCAGAAATGTGAGAAAGGTCCATTACTGTGACGATGAGGCTAAAATCAGTGCCATTAATGACGGATGATGTTTGATTGTATTATATTGTATATTGTATTTGACTGAGCCTGGTTTCTCCCAAGGTTTTTTCTCCATTCTGTCACCGATGCAGTTTTGGTTCCTCTGGCTTGCTTAGTTGGGGACACTTAAAGGGGTCATATGATGCGATTTCATTTTTTCCTTTCTCTTTAGAGTGTTACAAGCTCTTGGTGCATAAAGAAGATCTGTAAAGTTGCAAAGAGGAGTTTTGGTTCCTTGCCGCTGTCGCCTCTGGCTTGCTTAGTTGGGGACACTTCATTTCCAGCGATATCATTGACTTGATTGCAAAGATACTATTTAAACCGAACTGAGCTGGATGATGACATCACTGAATTCAATGATGAACAGCCTTTAACTGAACATTGAGTGTTTACTATTGTCATTTTGCATTACTGACACACTATTTTCCTAATTAATGCTGTACAGTTGCTTTGACACCATCTGTATTGTTAAAAGCGCTATATAAATAAAGGTGACCTGACTTGACTTGTATTGATAGTATAAAAAAATACAAATAAATAAAAAATGTATAAACTAAATAAATAACAAAAACAAACACATTTGTGCATGCAAGTAAATGTGTGTGAGAACTCACGCGTGTGTTGTTTCTCTCTGCTTTCAGCTCGGCGATCTCCTCCTCTCGCTCCAGCAGCTGCTCTCGACACATATTCACTTCTTTTGTGAGAGCAGCAAATTCCTTCAGTGTGTGAAACACAAGAAAACATGATTTTAAACAGGATTCTGCTTAAAGTGGCACACAGTGATCCATCAACTCAAACAGCACTCAGTGGAATCAGGCAGTCAGCAAGATGAAGCTATTAATCGAAAATTCTTTGAAAATTCTCTACAGCAATTAGTAGTTGCAGCACTATACAACACTATAAAGGAACAATATGGACGGGATGACTTTTCTTTGTACCGGTGACAAACACTAAAACATCGACTGCCGATTAAAACCGTAAAGTGCTCGCTGCAGTTACGTTATCAGAGTGATGAACAGACGGTTGGTTTATGCTGTTGGCGAGACAGACACAGATGTGCCAGCGGTTACCTGCGGCAGGGCGCTGTTGAGCTGTCTCTGCAGCGAGTCTCTCTCGTGGCTGATCTCGTGCAGTTTGCTCTGCGTCACACAGAGGTTCTCCTGCGTCTCTCGGAGCGTGTCCAGCAGTCGGTCTCTCTCCTCCAGCATAGACACCATCAGAGACTCAAAGTGGCCCTCAGAGTCCGTCTGCACGGGAGAGCCGGGGCCCAGAGCGCCTCCGTTACTGCCGACCTCCGCCTCGCTGATGGTGGGCATCACCTCGCACATCATCTACACACAGACAGCACAGCGTTACCTCACTGACACAGACCAGAAGCTCTGGACTAGACGTCAAGTCTTTACTAGTTACAAAGACTCTCTGAAGACTGTGTTACTGACTTCACGGAGTCTGTGAAGTTCCTGGACAGAGAGAGTGAGCGAGCGACTGTGGACAGTAATAAAACAAACAAACAAACAAACAAATAAATAAATAAACTTTTTTTTTTTAATTTACTTGCCCACTTTGTTTTTATTATAGTTTGTTTGCTGTAGTGGCTGTTAGGAAGAATTAAATAACTCTGAAATAATAGAAATATTTTGGTAAAGTGATGTAATTAATGTGGCCAAGCATTCAACAAAGCAGATAGAAGATCAGACACGCAACAGACAGAAGATCAGACACGCAACAGACAGAAGATCAGACACGCAACAGATAGAAGATCAGACAAGTAACAGATAGAAGATCAGACACGCAACAGACAGAAGATCAGACACGCAACAGATAGAAGATCAGACACGCAACAGACAGAAGATCAGATCAGTAACACAGAAACAGTAACAGATAGAAGATTAGATCAGATCAGTAACACAGAAACAGTAACAGATAGAAGATTAGATCAGATCAGTAACACAGAAACCGTAACAGACAGAAGATCAGATCAGTAACACAGAAACAGTAACAGACAGAAGATCAGCACAAGTGTTTATTTACCTTGATTCTGAGCAGGGTTTATGTCTCCTCTTCTCTACTGAATCCTGTTCAATCACAGCTAACACATTTAAAATATCAACTATGACGCAAATTATTCGTCAAGCCATAAAACCTAAGGAATCACTTTTTTTTTTAATTATCTGACGAAGAATAAGCGAAAAAAATAAAGAAAATAAGCGAGGCCTTTATAATGAATGAGAGCATCACTCATTAACGTTACTTGAGATCTGAGTGTTTAATGATGGAGAAGACATCACTGATCAATCAAAGACCTCCGTCAGATTCCCACTGCCATTAATACACTCAAACATACATATAAATACCAAGATACTCATATATAAATAAACTCCAATAGCGGCCTGCACTAGTTAGCATTAGCAGCTAAAGTAAGAAGAATCTAAATTATCCTCATGAAAGCGCAAGAATAAAACAATTTAGCCTTTAAAATAAACACTTAAAGCCGACGTTTGATGACGTGCCGTACTATTAAATTATAAATTAACGCAACGCGTTTATTAGAGTGAATTATTCTGACGCGTCACCATCTGATCCATGAGGAAAAACACCGGGATAAAAGTACAAATCGACCACTTTAAAAGCACAAAGCGCCCTTCAAACGACACTATCCGTAAGAAAAGTCTTTCGTCGGCCGGTTTGAGGTCGAAAAACAACAACTAATGCAGAAAAAAAGAGTTAAAACGACATTTACAGCGAGAGTTTGTCGCTGCTCCAGTTTCCTGCGCTCGCGAGAGCTCGGGACGTGCTGACGTCACGACGCAATCCACGAATCCCAGAAGATACAAACGATGAAGCCTGTGCTCTCGGGCGTGATGTTTTCAGTTATCATAAACGTCGTAAATTTGGTTTCATATACTTTATGTAAATAGTGCATGCATAAATGTAGATGATTTGCGGTTTTTCAAGGTAAAGCTCATTATAGTCCGAGTCCTCTCTAACTAGAGGGCGCAGCGACATCTCTGGACTATTGAATGTCTGTCAATCTGAATCATTTTAGCTCTATTTTCGTGACCTTTGTGTAAAATGCATGATTTATTATTATTATTAGTAAAAAAAAAAAACATACTCGAACTAATCAAAATGAACTGACGATCTAATTACAAGTAGGCTACTTAATTTTTGGAATCTGATGACGTAATCCAGATTACATTTAATCAGTTATGCCCAGCTCTGTCCCAGACTGACTGGATTTACTTATTGAACCACGTGATACAGTATGGACAAAGGGACGAGCACATTGAATTCGAATAATATTTAATTAAAAATCAAATAATAATATCGAATAAAAAAAGTCACCTCAGGCTGTTTCCACAGGTTTTGAGTTTGCTATTTTGACAACGCGTTTACTGATTCAAACAGACAAAAATAGTGTTTAAAAGCCATTTGATTCTCTTTTGGTAAGAAAAGAAACGCCACTTTAAGATAAAACGCTTCCTGCAGTTTCTGTGCTTTGACAAATTTGACAAAATAATAAAAAAGGTTCAGACTAACCTCAACCACACTGCCTTATTTGTATAAAAACACTGTATATAAAACACTATAATTCCCAGTAACTAAATATATAAACAATAATACAACATAAAAGGTGATCATTACAGAAAGAACGATCTTCACCAGTGGGAATAATTTGTAATATATAATTATTCACGGTATTTAGAAGTGCCCACGATAACAATATCGTGCATATTCATTACCGTGATATATCGCATTACCGAATACCGGCACAAGTTTAACTAAGACTAAAACTATCATTTCTGTAACAAAACTGTCTTATTAATATTTGAAACACTTTAGTTTGTCTGCCAGATTACAGTCGTGTGGTGCAGACGTCATCATCAGACCGGTTTATATCACTAGTCAAGGTTACTTATAAAATATCATGTAGTGCAACTCCATAAAAGCATCATATTTGTGAATTAATAGTCTGATAAATGTAAAATATGTTTTATGAAATTGTTGGTAAACATCAAGAGCGACATGTGGTATCATTTCTATATTATGGACACTCCACAAATGAATAGAGAACGATATTTTGACAGCATTTACTAATTTTGGTTAATGTTAATTTCTGAATCTACTTAAACATATGTGACATTTGAGAGTGCATGAATTAATATTGGGTAATGCATTGTGAACAAACAAACATGAATTACAAGTGAACACTAGTACAGTATATTGATCAGTTCACCTGAACCTAGATTGAGATTTAAAACATTGTAGTTTTAGAGGTTGTGTTACTACGCCGTTTTGTTGCTTTAAAACCCTAATAAAAATAGCATGGAAAGGTTGATTTGAGACGAGTAACTGGACTTTATTAATGTGGAAGAGATTGTGTTGTCTTTATAATAGTGTTAATGATGGAAAAGTGTGTGTGTTTGTCTTGTCACTCATGTTTCTCTCTGCAGCTTCACTGCTTTAGTGTGGATTCGTTTACTCTCTTCCTGTGTGTGTGTGTGTGTGTGTGTGTGTGCGCGCGCGTGTGTGTGTGTGTTTGTGCATGTGTGTGTGTGTTTATGGGTGTGTTTGTGTGCGCGTGTTTGTGTGTGTGCTTGTGTGCGCGTGTTTGTGTGTGTGCTTGTGTGCGCGTGTTTGTGTGTGTGCTTGTGTGCGCGTGTTTGTGTGTGTGCTTGTGTGCGCGTGTTTGTGTGTGTGCTTGTGTGCGCGTGTTTGTGTGTGTGCTTGTGTGCGCGTGTTTGTGTGTGTGCTTGTGTGCGCGTGTTTGTGTGTGTGCTTGTGTGCGCGTGTTTGTGTGTGTGCTTGTGTGCGCGTGTTTGTGTGTGTGCTTGTGTGCGCGTGTTTGTGTGTGTGCTTGTGTGCGCGTGTTTGTGTGTGTGCTTGTGTGCGCGTGTTTGTGTGTGTGCTTGTGTGCGCGTGTTTGTGTGTGTGTGCGTGCGTTTGTGTGTTTGTGTGTGCGTTTGTTTGTGGGTGTGTGTGTTTGTTTTTGTTTCCGTGTGTGTTTGCATGCGTGTTTGTGTGCGTGCGTGCTTGTGCGTGTTTGTGTGCGTGTGTTTGTGTGCGCGTGTTTGTGTGTGCGTGCGTGTTTGTGTGTGCGTGTTTGTGTTTGTGTGTTTGTGTGCGTGTGTGTGTGCACTTGTGTGTTTGTTTGTTCGTTTGTTTGTGTGCGTGTTTGTGCGTGCGTGTTTGTGTGCG